GGGGGGTAAAAGGAGCATCGCACCAACTCGGAGAGACAAAACATACAACATTAAAAATGCCGTAAAAAAACATCGCTTTATACAGTCACAAATCAGGGACGAAGAGAGTCATAGAGAAGAAAAAAAAATGCGTGCATAAACTGACTGCGATTAAGAACGGTTTCTCAGCTGTGGAATCCATACATTGTAAGTCTCGACGGCTTACAGACGATGCGATAGTGAGAGAGTGCTCGTCGAGCAAACGGTACGGTAAATTGCAGTTAACGAAGCGACAATATCCTCCAACGCGCCGGCTAACCCGGGCACAAAGAAGTTTCAATGCCTAGAATGCCCGGAGTTAATTGCCGTCTCACTCGTTAAAAAATGGGAACTCGGCGAAAAGAGAGAGACTCGTAATAATTTTATTAACGTTGGATGCGGCCGTATATATATATTTCCATCTTCGTAATTGCGCGACTTAATGTTACCCCCTCGCTACCTTGTATATAGGCATTGTCAGTGGGTAAATGTCCGTAAATAATAGTGTCGACCATCGAAAATAATTACATCAATTATTTCAGAATCTATTTTCATCATTTTGAGTCTTTCAATTTGGGACGTATAGAGTTTGATCAAACTTCTATAAGTGGGTATGTATTATATAACTTTGCCCGCGGTGGTGATGTGTAAAAGTCAATCTGAAATTACGCAATTTGTAAGCAATGGATAATATAATGACAATCAGAAAGGGGAGGGAATATCTGATCGTATTGATAACGTTATTAATTATTTGTTCATTAATATGAAATTATTATTTTTTTAGAAAGAGAGCAATGCATCAAGTAGAGAATATTAATGGATCCGTTATCAACCGCTATTGTTATTATATATTATTACAACTAGTAACATTAATTTCAGATTTATATAAATCTCTTGAAAATAGAGTAAAAACATGTGATATATTATACACCGCGCGATGTACATAAACCAACCAGCTGTAATTATATACAAACGGGCTGAAAACAACTCAAAACAGAAGCTTTCTAATTTTTTAGCAAAAAAAAAAGAAATATATCGTATCTTTTTTGTTTATATTATATTATACGACATATACGTCTGTGTATCGATTATAAGGCCATTAACTCGTTTCTTAGAGTATATCCTTTATGACCACAACCGCGGAACGCTTATCGATATTCAATAGCCACATTTGACTTCGCATTATTGCGGAATTATACCGTATGTGTATGTGTCCGCACGCGCGCGCGCCTGTGTGTGTGTGTGTGTGTTAGGAATTCGGTAACTCTGAAACGAAAATAGATACATGTACTGATAAATGAACCACACACTACGGGATACAATATGTGATCTCACGGACGATATCGTGGAAGTTTTGATATTAAATCAGCCGCGGCAGCAGCGTTTCGCTCGGTTTGCATTACATACGTTATCATATTAAAGATAAAGGTGCGCTCATATACACGAGGAAATCGATATATGCGCTTGATGTAGCTCTATTTGTTTTAGCTAACAGACTTTCGGGATTAACTATTTACGCAGCCGGTTTTTTTTTCATCCCAACACCACGGTCGATCCGGTATCTTTCTAAGTTTTAAATTCATATGGAGGGATTTATGAAATCCGGCGAAATAAATGGACTTCACGATAAATATTTTGCAATTTAAAATCGCAGTTCGAACTATTGAATCTCAAATTAAAGTTTATACGATATATGAGGGGATAAACACGATTCCTAGACGCGGTGAAGATATTTCAGTTAAAAATATTTTTACTGCAATTTAATAAGCAATAAAATACTGAATGATACATGTGTGTTAAATAATGATAAATAAAATATGTAATACTATCGATTAAATATTTATTAATAGAAATATACGTATAGCAATATATAATGATTCGGGTCACAATGTTCATTTTTACTGCGTCTTTAAATTTGGAAAAAGTAGAATATTAATTTTTCGCTGATTTTTATCAATTCGTGTTTGTAATGCTTAAAAAAAACTCTAGCTCTGCCAGAGCTAGAGTTAATTAAATAATTTTAGAAAAATATATCTACATAAGGAGAAAAATTATACATTAGAATCATCAAATCCGTCGGGACGTTTTTGTCCTACATTAAAAAGCTTCATTTTACTATCTTTCAAATTATTGTATAACCATTGTTTCAGCGTTATCTTCATGATCATTACGACTATAAAGGAATTGTTTTTCTCATTTCTTCTGTCTAAACTCCCCTAATCGGTCCCTTCACGCTCGTTTGCGCATCGCTTATTGCACAAGAAATTAATACTTTACACACTGCTAACACAATAAACTTATATCTTAAACTAAAATAATTCTTCTATTAGCTATTATTTATTTTTTTAATTTTAAAATACCTTCTTTATAAATCAGAATTTTTTTATTCAAAAAAGATGTTCCTCTCGCGCACCAAACGTTTCTCTCTCGTCTGTAATATAGTCAAAATGCGATTCTAGTGTCAGGAAATTAAATGATATATTTGGCTAAAGTAATAGAAAATTTATGCGAAAAAGTAAAAATAATAATGTACGATTATCTCGTGGCTGAACCGTGTATTAAAGTGGCTCATATTGTTTCGTTAGATACCCCAACATGGTGTTTCAGAAATTAATAACGTTGCGTGTAGTACACACATACACACACACACACACACACACACATACGTACACTCTACAGGTTAATCGATAAAGTTACAAGTAGAGTACAATATAAGAACGAACATGGCGCGCATACGCCGCCGCTCTTTTGCCACACTCGATTTAACTCGATGTGAAAAGAGCGAACAGCGAGAACATATGTCGCAAACATATAAAAATGAAATTAATTTAAAAAAAAAAGAGTAATTAATTGGGCATACACCGACTGCTGCACGCAGTTTTAACTTTATTAATTAGCGAAATTCCCCTTTACAATTTTTATTCCAGAATCGGCGATCAAGATCGATTTATCACGTTTTACTCCATCAGGAGAAAAAATTGCGTATTAATTCTTGCTGAAAAATATCTCCGGGTAGCTTCGCGGAACAAAATTATTTCAGAAACTAATTAAGCTTAAATTATCGAGATAAGTTAAAACGCAAATTTTTGTGTTTGCAGACTACATCGAGTTCTACATCAAGCATTTAAGTTGGATAAAGTAATCTTAGAGAAATTTATTAAGTTGGAAATATGAAACCAACGATGATAAAGAGAACATCATAGAATAGAACTTTAATAAGATCTCTAAGGGAAACTCTATCCTTCTATCTTAATCACCAAAAAAAGAATTAAAAAACAAAATAATCGATTATATTATCATTGGTATTACCTGTCCTTTTGTACATCTTATATCTTTTTCATATAATATTTTAAAAGTTTTCTATATTTTTTTAAATTATATTATTTATATCCCCTATATTAAACTTGCTAAAATTTAGTGCAATAAAATTTAATAAGAGAGTCAAATTAAATTTGATAAATCGTTTTCCGTTTCGCGTAAAATATATTTTAACTAATATAAGAAAGATCAAATTATATAATAAACAACTTTTCACTTTTCACTCGTTATTTGATGTTCATTTCAAGTTGCCGATTTCAATTCGTCGCGTCAGCTGCTCGTTATTCCCTAACGTGTTTCGACGACAATACGTGATTAATTTAACGGCGTTATCATTCTGGTGCGTGTGTACCCAATCTGTTGCCGAATCGTGAACATAGCGGCGATGTTACGTTAGCACTTCAGTTACATTATTGCAACGTTGCTACCAAAAACAGCACGCTATTCCAAAAGCGTTCTCCAAATATCTCCCATTATAATGTTAGAACGTAAAATAGAAAGGCCGTAAGTTTTATCATAATGAAATGTAGAAGATTATTTTAAGTTATGACTCTGACCAATTTGAACTTCTTAGCTTGAAATTGCAAAAGATATGAACCTAAAGAAACATATTTTCTAATTGCGACAGCGGGACGTTTCTTTAGAGAAAATAAATTCTTCTCACAATATGCCGTCAATAAAATAAAGGTACTTTATGCGACGAAAAATAAGGATAAATCGTAGAAGTAAGTCACAGGTGTCCTATTTTCTTTAAAATTCAGTCTTTTTCTTGCCAACGACACTTTCACGAAATATACGACATTATTACGGCGCCGATCGTTTCAATAAATAAAAAATATTGTGTCAGCTGAGGCTGTAAATGGCACGGATTCGCCCGTTTTCTTACTCCCTGTTTTGTATTAGGCCGAGAAAGCGTTACGACGCTTGGCAAAAGAGCAGAAATTGCTGCTGTGTCGTCGCAAAAAGACACTGAAAATACTGGAAACGGGTGCGACGGCTTGCCATTTTCGCGACGCTCCTCCGGGCGTCACGAGAACGATTCAACTCTGCTCGCCTCGAATATTTTCAAATCGAGGACGGCCACCGAGAGATAGGTGTCCCGATGGATATTCCGAAATTGTACGCGCTTGACGGGACGTCCTTGAGGAGCGTCGATGTGTGGTGAACATTCTCACAGCTGATACACTGCGCTCCTGTGGCCCTTAACCCTTATACCGCTACGTTTTTCTGGAGCTCTAAAACTGTCACGTTGGCGGGGAAAGTATGAAAGACGCTGAAAAGGCTTTTATGCATCTTTTCTCCACGACACTATTTCGCTGTGTTTATGCCCGAGAAATCGTTCCGTGACAAGGTCACGTTATGAAAGGCACAGCTCTGTGCATATTACTGACCACGTCTATTAAAGTCTATTAAAAAAAAGAATGTAGCACTACTTTAAAAAAAAAAGGCAAATATACTGCGTGCCAAATATCGTGTCAAAAATATTAGTACC